TTGAATTTACTCATTTTTTTTTTTTTTTTACCTTTTTTAAGTGTAGCTTATGGGGTTGCCATGAGTCAGAATCGACTCAACAGCAAATGGTGGTGGTGGTACAGAAAGTTTAAAATTGTAGTTGTGGCTTGCATTGGACTTCTATTGCACATCACCATGGTAGAATCTGGGGAGAGATTTTTGCTTTTTGTTTGTACTATTCAGTAAACTTGATATTTTAAAATAAGTATGATTATTTATACAAAACAATAAACTCATTATCTAAAATGAAATAAATATACCAATGAACAAAGAGCTATGTTTTCTCTCCTGGGATGTTGAGAGAACTAACTAGCTGGGAGGCTCTGGATGGGAACCAACAATAACAGAATGGAGAGCTGTTGTGCTGGGCCCTTCGGGACCATTTTCTCCAGTCCACTCCTTTTACAGCTAGGGAAACTGAGGCCCCAAGGGGTGACTTACCAGTCCATGGTCATGTGGATTCAAGTCCATTATGGCAGAAGTACGAACTTAGGGGACCTAAGATACCTCCCAAGACCCCTCTAAGGTGAGCATCACCACTTCCAGTTCCTCTAACCACACCCTTTGTCCAGGGTGCTTCCTCTTCCAAGTAATAAAAAGCAAGACACTTCCCTCAGCATGGGAGAACAGGGCCCCTTCCCCTTCAGCGGCAGGTACAAAGTTCCAGCTCCCAGTCCCAGCCCAGAACTCTCAGCCACTGGCCTCATGAAGCTCAGCAGCTCCCTAACGCTCTGTCTTGCCCTCTACCTGTTGGGGCATGGCCAGGTTGGGAAAGACTGCAGGTGAGCTGAAGGGTTGGAAGAGAGGATCCCTGAGACCCACAGCCTATGAGGTGGGGAGCGGGGTGCCAGCTCCAACAGGCCACCTGTTCACGCCCACCTCAGGAGGAAACTAAGGCCCAAATATGAGAAGGGGCTTGCTCGCGGTCACCATCCAGCCTGTGGCAGACCTCCCTGATGTCTTTTCGGTTTAACTAAATCTTCATCAAATTTTCATTTTTATTACAAAAGCAACACATACTTTGTTTTAAAAAGGCAAACAATACATAAATGTGTCAGCTTAAAAAGTGAGTCCCCTATTTTTCACACCCTCAACAATCCTACTCCCCAGAGGTATCCATTGTTAGCAGAATTTTTATGAGAGAAAATAAATGTTCATATTCCTTTAAAAATAAGATGAAGCTCTCAAACTTCGCTGCACAGTGGAGTCGCCTGGAGACGCTCTGGGCCCCACGCTCAGAAATTCTGATTTTACTGGTCTGGGGTGAGGCCTGGGCATCAAGACTTTTTAAAGTTCCCTGGGTGATTCTAACATGCCATCAAGGTTGAGAAATGCTGTTCAAACAGAAGGCCTTGAATTCCCTTCCTTAAGTGGTGTCTTTCCTTTTCTAGAATTGGGGTTCTCCCAGTATGTCCAGCATGGCCAGGCTTATGTCCACTGAGGATTCACAAAATGGTAAGATGGACTCAGAATGCTGTCCTTACCAGGGAAAGTACACATATCAAAATGGTAGAGAAGGCTGAGGCCAGGCCACCTCCCCAGATCCTGGTGTTTGGGTGTTGGAAATGGGTTAGGGTCTCAAGACTCACCTTGGGGGTTCTGGGCACCCTGCTGCTGCCCCGAGCCTTGTATCTAAAAGCTCCTGCAGGCAGACCCCGAAGCTCCTAGAGGGCAGCTGTTGCCCGACCCTCAAGCCATCTCTCTCTCCAAGCCTCCTTCAGGCAGGGTGGGCCTCACAGCTTAGAAAGTTCCTACCCAACCACCTCGGTCTAGCCTTGCTTTCCTTTCTGTCAAGGACACTGGGTCACTCTCCCCGAGGAAGGGTGTGAGCACAGACTTTAGAACCAGACAGGCCTGGGCTCTGATTCCTGCTCCATTTCTTACAGGCTATGTGTCCACAGGAGTCCCTGGGTGGTACAAATGGTTAACAGGCTCAGCTGCTAATCAAAAAGTTGGAAGTTCGAGCCCACCCAGAGATGCCTCAGAAGAAAAGCCTTATGATCTACTTCCAAAAAAACCCAGCTATTGAAAACCCCTATAGAGCACAGTTCTACTCTGACCCACATGGAATCACCATGTGTCGAGTCAACTCAAAAGCAACTGGAATTGGAAATGTGGCCTTTAGCTCTTAGGTTCCTCATCTGTAAAATAGGTATTAGAACAATACCTACCCCACCAGGTTGTTGTGAGGACGAAAGGGTATATACACAATGCTTAGCTCGGTACCTGGAAAATAGCAAGCACTCAGCAAAAGGTGGGTATCATCATTCACCAACTGCCTGGCCCACCAGCTCTCTCCCAGCCCTGGACATAGACTCCCCTGGTTTGTTACCAACATGACTTGTATTCTTAAATCTTGGCAGGGCTTCCTAGGGGTGGGGTTCTTCTGCTTCTTAGAATCCACAGGGTACCAACTGCGGTGTCCTGGAAGTGTCTTGGCAGACATTTGGGGACTGAGTGTTGGTGTGTTCTCCAGGCAAATAGAGTAACAGCTGATTGATTACTAGGAACCATCTCGGTTGTTGAGGGAAGATAAGAAAGGAGCACCTAGTTCTGCTTGCAACTCACTCCTGCAACCCGCTTCATCTACTTACCAGTTGTTCTTGTTCCTACAGAGTCCACAGGTGTTTCCCTCCCTCCCTCCAGTGCTAACCCCAGGGCAGCTCCACCAGACAGCCACAGCCCCAGCCCCGGCCATGTGAGGAGAAAACCCACTTTGTAACACCCTGGGGGCCTGTCTGACCTGGCCCTTAGCACCTCTGGCCCTTCTCCCCAGATGCCATGCATAGTGCCAACCCCCCTGGAGAAGGTCATGGCCAGGCCTACCCTTAAAGAATCCCTAAATGGACATAAATGGAAACACCCAGGCCCTGAGTGCAGGGACGAGGGAAGATGTTCCTGGTGCTGGCACAGCAAGAACTTCAAGGCCCAGAACCTAGACATTTGAGTGACCTGGCTGACTTAGCAGCAAAGTTACTGTGTGATATTCATCCATCCATCCGTTGTTGGAATGCAAACTACGTGCCAGCCACTATTTGAGACACTGCAGCTACAAAGACAAACATCCTGGCCCTCATGGAGCTTACATTTTAGTGAGGAGGAATAAATAATAAACAAGATCAATAAGACACAAAGTATGCTAGACGGTGTCAAGTGTTACAGAGGAAATGCAACAGGAAAGGAAAGAGCTTGTGGCTGGGGTTGGGATTTTCAATCGGGTGAGGCTAGGGAAGGCCTCCTTGATAGCAGTAGAGGTGGTGAGAAGGTTGGAGCCAACAGATGTGTTGATGGGGTGGATCTGGGCTGTGGGAGAGAAGAATCAAGGATGACTCCAGGATTTTTGGCCTGGGCACCTGGAAGGAGAGAGTTGCCGTTCACTGAGAGGGATGAACCACAGCATGAGCATGTTTGGGAAGGAGGCACAGAATGTCAAAAGCTCACTTTTGGAGATACTAAATTTGAGATGCTTTTGGACATCCAAGCAGAGGGGGCGGGTGGGCAATGACTCAGGAAACTGGGAGGAGGCGTGAACTAGAGATCCATGGGTGCTGTCGGCTCACAGATTGCGTACGACATGGTAGTGGAAGTCATTTCTAGGTACCAAAGTGGCTGGGGATATGACAGCCAGGCCACAATCCAGGTCCTTGTTACTTGGCGGACATCGCACCCACGCAGACTGCCAAGACCACTCAGCATCAGAATTCCACCCACCACATTATCTCATTTACATCTGCTCATTTATTACTTTGGGAGTAAACTCAATAGAAGCACTGCGTTCACGTGCTTTGCCCATGGTCTCGACTAGCTCACAACTTCCCTTTCCTATACACATTTGCTGACACATCACTTCCAAGTTCTGGGGGACAACCAAGACAGTCTCACCTATGTTGGCTATCGACATCCCCGGTACTCCTGAGCTAATGACTGCTGCCCTTTGACTTGTGGAGCTCCAGAGTGTCCCTCACCCCCCATCCCTACCCCTGGATCCCAGATGCCACGCCAGAAAAGCCCATGCCCACTCATTGACCATTTGCTTATTGAGCACTTACAACACGTCCTAAGCCAGGTGAGGTCCAGGAGATTAAAGGCAGCCCCTACACCCCCAGGAACCTCATAGTCTAACAGAAGTGAAAGGACAGTAACACCAGGGTAATAGGGAGCATGCCAAGGAAGGACCAGGGAGCTGTGGGAGCAGGGAGGAGGGGCACCTAGAGAAACCTGGGATGTCAGGGGAGACTTCCTGGAGGAAGCAACATCTTATCTGGTTTTGTAAGTAAGAGTAAGCCAGCCACTGAGAGGTGTGTGGTGGTGGAGCATTCTAAGCCAAACCACTGTGATGGGAGAGTCTGGAAAACTGAGGGGAGCCTCAAGGAACTTATATAGCGATGCAAAGCATGCCAGACGATGAGACAGAGGTGGGGCGGGGTGGGGGAGGGGCACCAACCTAGGGACCTAAGGAATCCAGGGTGTACAACAAGGGGAGGAAAAGATGGGGAGGGGCATGACTCAATCTAATGGGCCTACCTTCAAAGCCTGTGGGTGGTCCTAGGACCACCCACAGTGTAAGTTCTTGAGGGGCCTGATGAACTCCATCTAGCCTGCATCCCAGGAATCTGCATTTTCTTCCACAAGAGTACCAAGCGACTCCAACACACACTAGTTTTGAGAACCACCAGCTCTGGTCTGGGGTGATCGGGAACTGGTTCTCAGGGCCACCAAAGGGCAGGGGTGGTTCATTCTCATGGTCAAGGGCTACGCTTCTGGGAACACTGAGGAGGTGTTGTCCCCACCAAACCCGGGGCATTCTGGGGATACAGTCCAAGAAGGATGGGGGGTGCAGGACATGAGGAAGAATTTCTGGCCAGGGTGTGAGGAGGTAGGGAGGTTCTTTTCTGGGGGGAGGTTTTCCTGTTCAGATACCCAGCAAACAAGCCCTAGTCCCCACCTCTTCCCAGGCTTCAAGGACAGGAGGCAAAGAACCAAGGAAGCAGCCACTTTTTATTCACAACCAGTAAGTTCCATCTACCACACAGGGATACAAATTCTTCGGCACACCCCAGTCTCTAGGCCAGCGCCATTGTCCAATAGAACTCCCTGGAATGACGCAAACATTTCTTCTGCACTGTCTGATACAGTAGCCACTAACCACTTGGGACTACTGAGCATCTGAAACATGGCTAGTGCAGCTGAGGAAGTGCATTTCTACTTTAAATTAATGTAAATTCAAACAGCCACATGCGGTTAGTGGCTTCTGTACTGGACGGCACAGTTCCAGGTCCTGGCTGGTCCAGGGGTAGTTTGGCTCAAAAGTCAACGCTGGGCTGTGACCAGGAGAGCAAGTGGCAGAGACAGCCCCTGGTGTCACCACCCCCTGCCCCAGAGAGAAACAGCAGCTACAGCTGCTGAAGAGGGTACCTCTCAGAGCGGCGGGACGCCCCGGGCGCGCCGGATGAGGTTGGCCAGCCGCTTGGCCAGGCCGCCCTTGTTTGGCTCTTCGATGTGGAAGGTCCGCGTGAGGAGATTGTAGAAGGAGCCATAGCACACGGCCACCACGGTGCACGTGAGGCAGATGACATTGTAGGGCATGCTGAAGTCCGGTGTGGGCAGGCTCACCAGCAGTGGCTCTGTGTAGAGGCGCACGAAGTAGCTAGAGCCATCGGTGACAGGAAACCTGGGGGTCAGGGAAGGAGTGGTGAGGCAGGACCGGACTGCTGCTCCCCAGCGTACCTCGTCCCCACGCCTGGGCTGCACTGGGCCAATGCACCCTGGTAATGGTTTTCAGTTTTCTTACCCTCAAAACCTTTCAACTCAAACCTGTTGTCGTTGATTCCAATTCATGGCAACCCCATGTGTTTCAGAGTAGAACTGTGCTCCACAGGGTTTTCAATGGCTGTGATCTTACTGAAGTAGACCACCAAGGCTTTCTTCCACAGTGCCACTGGGTGGATCCCAACTGCCAACCTTTCAGTCAGCAGCCAAGTGTAAACTGTGTGCTCCACCCAGGGACTTCACCTTTTTAACAGGACACATTTTATAAGAAAGGTCAGTACATAAACCTGATAAAAGGAGACAACCGTGGCTGAAGTGGAGGAGCGAGGCCCTGCCTTGGCCTAGCTGCCTCTTTCTTGCCTTCTGGTCTCAGCCTAAATACCACCTCTTCAAGTAAGCCTTCCTGGATAACCCACAAAACTACCTCCCCCAAACACCCTCCCCACCACCCCAGTAATCTCTAGAACAGTATCTCCCCTCTAGACTGTAAGCATCAGGAGGGCAGGGGCAAGCCTGTTTTGTTTACTGTTATACACCAGTGCTTTCTGAAGCATCTGACATTTGATAAGGGCTCAATTAAATACTTGTTAAGAGAACTGATGGATAAATGTAAGCTCTAAGTATTGCTATTCTCATTTATTTACTGTTCCAGATGTACTTTAGGATCATTTCATAAAGTCTTTGGAAATATAGCTTACGAGAATTATTAGGACTGAGTTAAATCTACACATTACTTTGGAAGAGGCAAGCTACCCTGCAGAAGCCTGCTTGCTCATCTGTGTTAACGCCCCAGCCCAAAGTAGGTGGCTGAGGATGTACTAGAAGAAAAAACCCAGTTGCACATCGCAACCTCGTGTGTCAGAGCAGAACTGTGCGCCACAGGGTTTTCAAAGGCTGATTTTTTTTCAAAGTGCATCATTGGGCCTTTCTTCCAAGGTGCCTCTGGGTGGACTCGAACCTCCAACCTTATTGTTAGCAGCTAAGTACACAAACCATTCACACTACCCAGGGACTCTGTACTGTGCAAAGGGTGTGGTCACACTTACAGGGTGTTGAAGAGGGGGCCCTCTTCCCGGGCCACTGGGGTGGCTGCCACCATGCTGGGAACGAGGGCACTGAGGACTGATGGGCTGCAGAGAAGAGAGATGGCCTCTGTTTCTCACTGGCTTCTCCACCAAGGGTAAGTGGCAGATAGGGTGAGCCAGGAAGGAGGGGGCAGCCTGTGGGGGAGAGGCACACCTGACATAGAAGCCGTGGTTGGGGTCTGGGGTGTACTCGGTCCACTTGAGTAGCGCCCGCTCAAACTGGATGGAGACCTTGGTGACAGAGCTGGCTGGCAGCTGAACCAGCATCTCCAGTAGGTGGGGCTGCAGCCGGTCCTGGGCAGGCTGGTAGTGGATGTAACCTGAGACACAGGCAAAGGTCACCCACACCTTCTTCCCGGGTCAGACTACCCACACCTCCTATCCCTCCCGTTTGCCTTGGGGCTTTGAGCTGGGGGCCTAGAAGGTTGGCTGTGGATCTCAGGAGTCAGCAGACTCTGGGAAGGGAGAACATGCTTCCAAGAGAGGCTGTCAAGAGTGCCACAGGCCACTATCAACCTTCACATCGCCAGACCTGGGCCACCACACATCAGCTGCCTGATGGAACACAACAGCAAGTTCAAAGAACCACCTGGGAAGCCTTCTTCCGACCTGAATCTAATCAAGTTTCTAAATCTAACCAACAACATACAAGAAGTATAGGAGATGGAGGAACATGCTAAACACCAGCAAGAGGACAAATCCAGAATGTAGAAGATTCCACACAACACATGACCCAGCTTTTTCAACAAATAAGTGGCTTTTTGAAAAAACAAAAAGCAGGTACCATTATAGAGTAAAAGAGACTTGAGACATATCAAGCAAGTGCAACGTGAGAACCTTGTTTAGATCCCAATTCAAATCAATCAGTTGTAAAAAGTTATTTTTAAGACCACTGGGAAAGACAGGAATGATAATGACATGATTATATTTTTTAAAGTCCTTTTATCTGTTAGAGATCTATACTAAAGTAATTAAAGGAAAATTGATACGCTCTTGATATGCTCTCTGGGATTTATTTTAAAATGCTCCTGAAGAGAACACAACAGAGAGGCCCTGACAGCGCAGGAGAAATGTGGGGTGCAGAACTCAAATTCCAGTAAAAAGACCAGACTGAATGGTCAGACTGAGACTGGAGGGACCCCGGAAAACACAGCCCTTGGACTCTCCGTTAGCCCAGAACTGAAACCATTCCCGAGGCCAACTCTTCAGAGAAAGATTAGACTGGACTACGGGATATCAAATGATACTCGTGAAGACAGTGCTTCTTAGCCCTGTAGATACATGAGACTAAATGGGCAGCTTTTGTCCGGAGGTGAGATGAGAAGGCAAAAAGGGACAGGAGCTGGCTGAATGCACACGGGAAATCCCGAGTGGAAAGGAGGAGTGTGCTGTCACATTGTAAGGAGAGCAGCTAGGGTCACATACCAATGTGTGCATAAATTTTTGTATGAGAAACCGACTTGAACCGTAAACTTTCACTTAAAGCACACACACCAAAAAACTCCCGAAGAGGAACTGGTGAATGTTCCGCTGTGTACATTCTCAACGACAACAAAAAAAATAAATTCAGAAATGAAAAAATAATAAAAATACTCCCACAGAAAAATTATCAAACAAAAAAAATGAGGGAGGGGGAACTAGGAGGATGGAAGGGTAGAGAGCACTAAAGCTGGGTGATGGAGCATGTGAAGGTTATGATCCTATTTCAAAAGGTTAAAAAAAAAATACAGAAAAACCTACAGAATATATAGGTAGGCTGTCTGAAGCAGAGATTCTGAAGCTAGTACAAACAATGGCGCTGAGAATAACTAGAACTATTAACCACCGGCTTGAAAATATGGGAAACAAGAAGGGTGTTTAAAGAAGGTGCTTAAATTTAGCTGTTTGGGATGATACAACCTCTTGCTAAGACGTCTTCTTCTTTACCATTAGCCCCCTCCTACCCACACCCAAAAGAAAAAGTGCTTTAGTGCCGTGCACAGCACCCAACAGGAAGTACTTGGTAAATAGAAACTACTCCTTTAAAAGAAAAGTACAGAAACAAAGCTGCACCTCTTCGCCTCTTTCAAGGAAGCAAAAACCATCTACCCCAGGGCTGCCATCTTCTTTGCTTCCCAAACCCAGATTATCTTGCCAATCCTTTATCCTAGAGTCTACGAATCATCACAAAACACAAGGGTGTGCCCAAGGAAGGAGAAAATCAGTGAGAAAGAAACGGAAGCTACCTCCTCACGCAGTCCTGTTAGAAATCTCCAGGACGATACATTTTCATTATTATTATTATTTTTTGAATGACTTCCAAATCGCACAGCAAGGTCACCTTTCCATTTTTCAAACTGTTCCTAACTCTTTATGCACACGTTGTTTTTCAGCTGTATGTCAGAGAGTATCCTGAGAAACGAAGGGTTGAGGGACCCGGGGAGAGCAAGCTGGGGTGAGGTGGCACGGAGGCCTGCTCCAGGACTTGGCTCCTCACTTGGTTTGTTCTCCTTGCCCTTGGAGGTGATGGTGAGGGTGTGCACGTACAGCCGCAGGTACCAGGGCACAGTGTCCAACAGCAGCACGGGGAAGGCCCGGTATGGGTGGGTGTTGTACAGCAGCGTGCTCAGTTCCCCGTTCTGCAGCCCATAGCCGCTGACGTAGCGCTGGGCATGCAGGAAGGGCACCGGTGGGGCCTCTGCAGGGAGGAAAGTCAGCCATTAATAACTTTTTTTTTAATTGTACTTTATTTATTTTTTATTGTACTTCAGATGAAGGTTTACAGAATAGTTTCTCATTAAACAGTACACATATTGTTTCATGACAATGGTTAACTACCCCATGACATGTCAACACTGTCCCTTCTCAGCCTTGGGCTCCCTATTACCAGCTTTCCTGTCCCCTCTTACCTTCTAGTCCTTGTCCCTGGACTGTTGTGTCCCATTAGTCTCGTGTTGTTTTATGGGGCTGTCTAATCTTTGGCTGAACGGTGAACCTCGGGAGTGACTTCGTTACTGAGCTAAAAGGGTATCTGGGGGACCATACTCTGAGGGTTTCTCCACATTAATAACTTCTAAGGGAAAGGGTATGGAGCCCTGGTGTCACAATGGTTAAGTGTTCGGCTGCTAACTGGTTGGCAATCTGAACATACCTAGCAGCTCCGCAGGAGAAAGACCTGGCGATCTGCTCCCATAAAGATTACAGCCTAGAAAACCCTATGGGGCAGTTCTACTCTGTCACTTGGGGTTGCTATGAGTTGGAACTGACTCGACAGCGCCCAACAACAACAAACGAAAGGGTCACTCCCCACTCTCCAGACCCTGTTCAACGTCCCAAAGCCACGGAGTAGATAGGGTAAGCTTGCCATCAGAACTGGGAATCCGGGTTCTGGAAGCATCTGGTCTTCCCCAACCCACAAGCAAGGATGGTAACAAAATTACTATTTGCTAAGCACTTGCCACGTGCTGGGACTCCTGGTGGCACAGTGGTTAAAACGTTCAGCTGCTAAGCAAAAGGCTGGCAGTTCAAATCCACCAGCCACTCCTTGGAAACCCTACTGGGCAGTTCTACTCTGTCCTCTGGGGTCACTATGAGTTGGAATTGACTCGATGGCAACACATTTGGTTTTTGGTTTTTTGTCACGTGCTGAGCGAGTGCTGTGCCCCTTCCAACCTAAACCAGATGCTCTGGTGATATTCTGCACCTTTCCTTGGTAACGCTGAACATGATCATAATTTATTAATCGCTTGATGCCTGTCTCAACTAGGAGACACGTTTCTTGAATGCAAGGCGTTATCTGTCGTATCTACCACTCTATGCCTGGCACATAGTACAGACTCAAAAAAGTATGTGTTGATTAATGAATGCGTGAACGAAGTCTGTGTTTTACAGTAATTATCTCATCCAACTCACTAGATATTACTGTCCCCGTTTCCCAGATGAGGAAACTAAGGCTCAGAGGGGCTAGGGATCTGCTAAGTCATCAAGCTCAGACGAGGTGGAGTTAGAACCAAGAACGTCTGACTCAGAGATCTGAGTCTAATCACAACCCTATTTATTGTCTTATGGTGAAGAAGTAGGGCCATGGGTCTGCCGCCAAGAGATGACCTCTGTAGCCCACTGTGGCCCCAGTGGCCCGTGTACCCACTCACCATTCTCTGGGAGTCTCTTCCACTTGAGCTGGAGGTTGAGGTTGCGGGAACTGGTGATCAGGGAAGTGTCAAACAAGTCATAGACAGCATAGGTCTTCCTGGTGCCCAGGACTGTGTCCTGGTATGTGGTGGTGGGGGGCGGGTTCACCTCCAGTGTCTCACTGTCCTGGGGACACAAGGGCAGGGCTGACAGGTGGGCAGAGTGGCAGGCTGGTCCATGGAGAAGGAGGCTGGCTGGAGACCTTTGGTACCTGGCTGTGGTTGGTGATGTCCACGTAGACTCGGCTCTCCGAAGCAAGGGGACAGGGCTCCGTGAGGGTTCGGGAGAACATCCGGAAGAGGGACCAGTCTGAGGAGCAGACAGTAGAGTTGAGCAAGGACTGGGGCTAAGCCTGGACCCCAAAGGCAGGGCAGGGCTGGGGGCGGGTGGGTAGAGAGGAGTCGCCAAGGCAGCTTACCTTTCTTCCCCTGCCCTGTGATGAAGGCGTCAAATACAACTGTCAGCATCTGCCTCAGCTCCCAGGAGATGCTGGTACAGCGTGCATCCTAGCCCAGGGCCAACACGTAGCAGTGAGTGGACATCACGCCCACCCACCCTCACTGCCTCGAGGCCGCCAACCTGGACTCAATCCCTGGCTTGTTACGTATCTTCGCACCCAACACCTTGCTACCACTGGCTCCCGAGTACTTTCCTGAGACAGACTCTGTGCGAACAGCTTGATGTGCACAGTTTAATGACCTATCACACAACCTTAGGAGGCCAATACTATTACTCATCCGACAGATGAGGAAACCAAGGCTCAGGGAAACGAAATGACTGCTCGTGGCATGCCAGCTGGCAGCTGGCGAGTGACTGAGCTAGCACTTGTGCCCCACAGCTCTCCCTGCTTTGCTCTGTGACAAATGTCTATTGGGCACTCTCCAGGAAACTGCTCAGTTTCCTTGGTGCGTGGCCAATGCCCAGAATAATCAGCATCACTTCTGCCACTTAGCACTCGCTCAGCCCGCGCCAGACACTGGGCCACATGCTTGACCTGTACCTTCTCTGGGGGCCCCTAGGTGGAAGCCACCCCTAACCCCCAAGACTTACTCTGCAAACAGGGCGGATATGCACTGCCTGGGAGTGGTAGCTGGTGTGGAATAAGCGATCAGCCTTGAGCAGCACAGAGAGGCCTGCCTGGAGGAGGTGGGAGGAGACAGAAGCTCAGAGCATCTGGACCTGGGACCAAGGATGTCTCTACAAGCACACGTCTGGCTGGCAGTGAGGGGGCAGCTGCCAACTCCATGCACTCCCTGGGGCTCCCACTCACATTCAGACCACACCTGCCTTACCTTGGAGCTACAGGGCAGGAGCTTCTTCCACGGTGTGAGGTTCTCAGTGCAGACAATCTCCCGTGGCAGCACGGCGTAGCGCAGGAAGTGGTGATCCGTGCCTGTGGGAGGAAGAGGCCAGTCTAGTAGGCCTGGGGGCCCCGCCCCTAAGACCCACACTCCAGAGATGGAGATGAGCCCTCCTTTCCCCACATAGATCTAACAGATCAACAGGGGGCAGGCCCCTCCTCCCCTGGGAGAAGGCAAGTTACAGAGAGCAGAGCCTCAGGGGTCCTTCTAGAGCCCACACACACTAGGGGACTATGATTTGGCCCAGAATGAGGGAGGAAGCTGAGGGGAGAGGAGGCAGAAGTCAGGGCAAGAGAAGGCAGGAAGAGGAAAGCGCTGCAGGGGCGGTCTTACCATTGGCCAGCCCCAGCGGTTTGAAGGAGGCGGTAGGAGTGACGGTGTTGGTGGAGTCGATGAAGTTGAGAGAGGCGCAGAAGATCCCTGAGAGGACATTGCTGAGCTCCTTCCAGGATTTATCCACGCTGGAAGGAGACACAAACCCACGTGCTGTCCCGGGGCTGCCTCGGTGCCCTCCCTGGCCACGCCCACTGGAGGGGGAGGCTGTGACCTTAACCATCGCACAGGCTAATCACAGGATGGAGAAGTCACGGTCCCAACCTGGCCCCTGCACACTCCTCTGGACGTCCCTGGTTGCCCACGTCTCCGCTCAGACGAGTTCTCCTGCCTGGGACACCGGCTCACCCTCTCTGCCCTATGCCAAGGTCCACCTCCAGGCCCGGCCCCTCCCCGAGAAGGCCCTTCCTGCCCTCCTCAACCACAGCCTCCTCTCTGCTGCCGTGGCTCTAACTACTCCAGCCTCTCACCAGGCTCCTCTTGGAGATTGCTAGGTGGTGGCCATCTGGTCCTAAGCATCTTTTCTCCCACAACTAGGCCATGAGCGACAAGGAACAAGTCTGGGTCATCTACGTTATCTCCCACAAAACAATGCAAAGTACCCCACACCTCAGAGGGCCAAGCAGACAGCTCACTGATCCACCCTGAGGTTTGCTCAGCTGGGCAAAACAACACATTCTACCCTATGAAAACCCTGAGCATGAACGTAAGTCTTGTTTCTACTTATATCCACAAGGCTCACTGAACAAGAGAAAAACAACCACTATAGGATCCCACAAAAACATCAGGTTAAATTAGGTTCTTTTCTTAGAGAAATATCAAAACACATTGATTCTCTATATTAATAACATCCGTTGCTGTTGAGTCAATTACAACTCATGGTGACCCCATGTGTTACAGGGTAAAACTGAGCTCCATAGGATTTTCTTGGCTGTAATCTTTACAGAAGCAGATCGCCAGGCCTTTCTTCTGCAGTGCCACTGGGTGGGTCTGAACCACCAGTCTTTCAGTTGGTAGATAGCTCAAACCCTTCTTGCCACCCAGGGACCTCATATTAATAATAACCAAAAAACCAAACCCATTGTGGTCAAGTTGATTCCAACTCATAGCAACGTTATAGGACAGAGAACTGCCACAAAGCGTTTCCAAACAGCGCCTGGTGAATTCGAATTGTTGACCTTCTGGTTAGCAGACAAACACTTAACCACTGCGCCACCAGGGCTCCCATATTAACAGAAGACATAAAATTTAATAAGCACTAGAATTCTAAACATTAGCTCTACATTATAGGCAATTATGGGCTGAGGGAAGACAGAGACAGCAGAGCAGATAGAAAAAAAGGCCAGGGAGCAGAGTTGAGGCAAGAGAGGAAGCCGTGGCAAGGCTGAGGGTCACCACTTGCTCCTTGTCTGGCATCCTCTTAGTGCTGTCCTGGGATTTTTTGATAATCTACTACTCATAGCTCTTCAATCGCTCTAATCCTTAAGCCTCAAACAACAACCACAGACACTAAGCCTGAAAGCTCTACCCAAACTATAACCATGTTTCATTCATCGTGCACAACACTGGCTCGCATAGCATTTCTTAAAATTCTAAATTACTTGTTGATATGTAAATTCACCAATTTTCACATGAAAATCCAGATTTCTGGTCTCTCTTGAAAAATGAGAGTATCTGATGACACTGAGCCTCTATTCCCACATGGCAACAATCCATGGGAACTTAACAGCAGCTGTCCTCTAGATTGACATGAGCTCTCTAGCCTGCCACAGTCCCCACCACTCCCTATTACTGCCCTGAAGTGTTTTTTATCATATTTGTGCCGCTGATTTCTTATATTGGGACTAAGAGGGAAATGAGATATATTTCTCATTCCTGTGTATCTCTAAAAATGTTTACACCTTTACTCATTGATGTTACCTGCCTGGCCCAGTAGACATGAGTTCGCAACCCTGTCTGGCTTACAGAGGGTCTACTCTAAGTAAGATAATCACAGCAGCCACTGGGAAATCATTTTTGTGGTACAACAACAACTAGACCCACCCTTCTCCCAAACAAAAGCCATTCCTCTAAGACAGAAATCATAAACTGGCAGCCTGTAGAACAATTCTAGTCTACAGACGTGTGTTGTTTGCCTTTCAAGGTATTTATTATTATAATTAAATTTGAATTCCTTTTTAAAAGTTCTCCAGTTTGACAGTTTTCTACTGCTTTATACCCAAGTGAGCTTCAATCATTTATTCTCTGCCTCTGCAGGGATGTACATGTGCCATCTCGGGTCTAGAAGTATTAGAGGAAGGAAGTGTATTCAGTAAAGTAAAGAATACTACTCAGTGGTAACATCATTTCTTACTTCCAACACCAGCCTTGGAACCTCTGCCTGCTGGAACCACTGCCCCTATGGGCAGTTGCAGGATGACAACACCTTCCCTGCTATGCTCAACTGGACCCAAGGTGGGCACTCACTCAGTGACGGTGTCTTGGAACCAGACCCAGAGTTCTGCACCTGATGGGGCCTGCAGGAAGGGTGGTCCCCAGTATCGGGTCCTCCAGAAGCCTTGAGTGAGGGAAAGGTGGAGCTCCTGTAGAGAATACTTGGAGATCAGCTGCCCCAGGGCTTTGGGGAAGAGCCTGTAATGAGACACTGGGGGAGGGGAAGCAGGTGGGTAAAGATCCTGGAGGCAGGGCTCTAGGTCAACCCAAAGAAGCAGAAGACCCCAGGATCTAAGTCAGCGAGATCTGGATTCCAGACCTGTTACTTAATAGCGATGTAATCTTGGACAAGTCCCTTTACCTCCCCACACCTCAATTTCTTCCTTGTAGTCGTTTACAGCACTAAGAACTATGCCTAGTACCCAGGATAAACGGCAACCACCAACAGCAGCAGTAGCATCATTGTTGCCAACAGAGGGCTAAAGATTTAGAATTGCAGCCTAGAGCTCCGTCAAAAGCACTGGACTAGGAGTCAGAAGTCACTGTCCCTCTCCAGACCTCAGTTTTGCCATCGGTACAATGGGACTCTTTAACAACCACCCCAATCCTTCGCCAGTGACCCAGCTCTTAGGGCCCCAAGCCCAGGAACCAGAACCCCATCCTAGGATCAGACCCCATCCTAGGATCAGACCCCGCCCTCAAGACTTGCCCCTACCTCACCCCCAGCAGGTGCCACAGAACGCTTTCTCGGGTCAGATCACGCCCTCTCACCTCCTTCCCGCTGCAGCTCCGAGTCCCAGCGCGTGCGGAACTGGAATGTAGCGGCTACGTCCCCGGAAGGCAGCGGGGTGATGACAAGCTCCTCTCGCAGGCTGTCGCGTGGGGGCTCTGCACGGCCCCAGCCGCCCGGCCAAAGGAGCAACAGCACCAGAAGAGCGAGGGACACAGCCACCGCCATTCCTGCGACTACTTCCACCTCCCCGCGGCGCCCGCCCCACGAAAGGCCGGCATCCAATGGGAAGAGCGGTTGATAAGCAGCTTCCGGTGCCGTCCCAGAAACCCGGATGCCGCATTATACCCATTTGATAGTTGGGAAACACACTGCGGAAAGGTTAGTTTTGCCAAGTCGCACGCCGGGCTCCTGCCTCCCTTTACTTCTGGTATCTCCATTTGCTCAGTTCTAAGCACATGTAAGCCCTGGTGACGCAGTGGTTAAGCGTTTGGCTGTTAACTGAAAGGTCGGTGGTGGAACCCCCCAGCTCTTCCGGGAGAAAGATGTGGCAGTGGGATTCTGTGAAGATTTATATCCTTGGAAATCTTATGGGGCGGTTCTATTCTGTCCTATAGGGTCGCTGTGAGTCAGAAGACTCTATGGCAGTGGGTTTGGTTTGTTTTTCGGAAGCCCATCCAGCTCCTCTAGTGGCAGAGCTTTCCTGCAAAACCCCCCAAATCACGGCCCTTTCATTATGAATATTTTCAAAGTAGAAACAGCAGTGAACACTTGTTCCCCACCACCTAGATTCCAACATTAACGTTTTACTCCACTTGCTTTGGAGCCCTGGTGGCACAGTAGTTAAGAGCTTTGACTGCTAACCAAACGGGTGGTAAAAGGTTGGCAGTTCAATCCACCAAGGTCGCTGTGAGTCGGAACCTACTCCACGGCAACGAGTTTGTGTTTGTTGTTGTTGTTTAGTAAACTTGCTTTATCACATATTCGTCTGTACATCCATGATTCCACTTTGTTTTGATGCATTTCAAAGTAAACTGCAGACATTAGTACATTTCCCCCTAAATACTTCAGCATGCATACCATTAACTAGAGTTCAATATTTACATTTTTTCTTTTGATATAAAATTTACAGACAATGAAACGCACACATTTGAAGTGTACATTCACTGAATTTTGATAAATGCATACACCTGCATAACTCATACCTATCAATATACAGAACATTACTAAAACCCCAGAAAGTTCTCTAATGCCTCTTCCCAATCAATTCCTGCCTCTGCTCCACTTTGCAGAAGCAACCACTGTTCTGATTTTTATCCACCATAGATTATTTTAGCATATTCTAGAACTTCATATAAATGAAATTGTAGAGTATGTACACTTTTTGTGTAAGGCTTCTTTCACTTGCAGAATGTTTTAGAGAACCATCTATGTTCTTGCATGTATCAGCAGTTTCTTTTTATTGAATAGCATTACATTGTATGGATACCATAGTTTATCCATTCTCCTGTTGCCAGACAGGCTAGCACTTTCAAGATTTTGGTTATTATCAATAAGGTTGCTGTACAAGTTACTTTGTAGACATATTTTTCATTTCTCTTGGGTAAAAATTTAGGAGTAGAAGTGCTGGGTTGAAGAGTAGGTGTATATTTAATTTTATAAGAAACTGCCAGACCTTTCTCCAAAATGTTTCTATTATTTTATACTCCCACCAAGAATGTATGAGAGTTCCTGTTACTCCACATTCTCGGATGTCAATATTTGGTAATTTTAACTTTTTGGTCTTTTTGTCAATCGCTGGAGAAAGACATTATGCTTGGTAGAGGGTCAGTGAAAAAGAAGGAGACCCTCAATTAAATGGACTGACACAGTGGCGGCAACAATGGGCTCAAACGTAACGATTGTGAGGATGGCACAGGACCCAGAAACCAAATGTTTCATATTGTTATACATGGGGTTGCCATGAGTCAGAGCTGACTCAACAGCACGTAACAACAATTTCAGCCATTTGGTATCTATGTAGTGGGTATCTCATTGTGGTTTTAATTTGCATTTCCCTGATGATGTTCAGTGTCTTTTCATGTGCTTATTGGCCATTCATATATTTTCTTTGTTGAAGGGTCTGTCCCCACCAACCCAGCAGAGAGTAGAGTATGGTGGGAGGGACAGCTGGTATCAGAATTGGTAAAAAGGTTGGAGAGTGGAGGTATGTTTGACATCCTCACGAAAAAAAAAAACCACTGCCGTGGAGTCAGTTCCGACTCAAAGTGACCCCACAGGGTTTCCAAGACTGTGAATCTCTACAGAAGCAGACTGTCACATCTTTCTCCCACGGACTGGCTGGTGGTTTCAAACCACCAACCTTTCAGTTAGCAGTCGAGCACCTTAACCACTGCACCACCGGGGCTTAACCTCATAGAAATCAGCCTCGGGCTGATGTTCATCTTTTCTCCTACCCCTTGTGGAGTCGGACAAGGAAATCTGACAACACCCCCACCACACCATTCTTACAGAGGCTGAAAGCTGGTCTCCTTTCCTGGGAGTTGGCTCCAAACCAACTTTCCATCTCCAAGGGCACTTGTGTGGCCTCAAAAACCAGTCAACTGGAGATGCTGGCTCTGAAGGCCAGCCAAGCCCCTGTGTTTTGGCAGGGGGAGGTCATTTTCCCAACCAGGAAGTGGTCCTGGGGTGTGAGCTAACCCTAGACTTCTTCAGGCAGGGGCTGGGGCCCATGGCAGCTGAACTAAAGGCTCCCCATAGGCCCACAAAAAATCCTACCTCTCCAGAGGGCTGTAGATCCCTCTTCCCCCACAAATCTTAGCACTGCATGCCTGGGGTACTAAGAGATTTATCAACATGTTGATGACAGCCACCAAGCTAATCCAGCTTCCCATCATTCACCCCAGAGGGAAGTGGGGTAAGCCCGAGAGCCGAGAAGCCTGCAGAGCAGAGATATGGAGGCCTGCAGCCCAAGAGAAGGCTCAGCCACAGTCAGACAGGAGGAGTGCCTTGCTTCTCCAGAGGAGAGTGGAGAAGGCACAAGAGGACAGAGACCATGTCCTCTGTGTACAGCGAAGCCAAAGGAACTCAGAAAAGCCCCAAAAGTTAACATGAGACTGGGCCCTGACCCAGCTTAGTGGATGATCTCAACTTGGACAGACACTTAAGGACAAAAGGCATTCACTCCACAAGCTTTCCAGAGACAGGGCAAGTCTGTAAGCTCTGCCAATGGACACGTCCACCTCCCTGAAGCTCCCACAAGTTCCTCACTAGAGCTAGGAAGAGCACTTAGCAGCAGTCACTTACAATTGGCCCCCTGCAGGGATGGAAGCAGGATGGGACTATGGGAAGAATGCAGCCCTGTCACTCAGCCTGGGGTGGCACCAAGAGCTTTGAGATTTAGGCTGAAGTCACTGATTCCATGGCTGGTGTTTGATGTACAAAGGAAAGTGGGATTTTTTTTTTTTTCCTGATGTGAGAAATGAGTTGATGTTCCTGAAGGCTGGGTCCTAGAGCTCCTTATATTTTTATTCAACTCTCTCTGGGCAAGCTCATTCACACCCATGGCGTCAGTTACCACTTATATACTGATGACTCATCTGTTTATTTTTCCAGCCCTTTCTCATCTTAATCCCACACCCATGGGTCCAACTGCCTGCCTACTCAGCATGTCCTCTTGGATGTCTCAAAGGCATCTCTAACTCACCATGGCCCAAACCAAATATATTACCTTCCCAAACCTGGCTCTTTCCTGGTTCCCTATCTGGGTGAAGAGCCTTCCAATCATCCTGTTGCACGAGGCAAGAACAGTGGTGGCACCCTTGACCCCTTCCTCTTGCACAACCACCAAGACTTTAGGAATCTGCCTCCTAAACATCTCTCTATTCTACTTTTCTCCACCACCACCCCCTCCCTGCACCCTAATCAGTTACCTCTTATCTAGCTGGCTGTGATCATCTCCTGGTTTCCCAGCATCCACTGGGGTCCTCTTTAATTAGAACTCCACAAGCAGCCCTTCCAGCCATTCTTCCCTTAATTTATTCCTACTTATCCTTCAGATCTCAGCTCAAATGCCACTTCGTCAAGGGAAAAATCTCAACCTTTCTGAGACAGCTATTAACTCCTTCTTAGCACTACTCGTAGCTGCAATTTTACATCTGGGCCCCCACTAGACTGTAAACTCCTAAGAGCAGGGACTGTATCTTTTTTTGCTCACCAATGCTCCTCTCCAAGGCCATGCTCAGTGTCTTGCACATGTTAGACACTGACATTTAATATCTATTGAATGAATATTGTCATTTATTTATTTGTACCCTGCCTCGACCCAGTTACCACTGTCCTTTGGGCCACAATTTCTCTTGCACGGATTATTGTCATTTGTCTGTCTGGTGCCTGTCCTCCTCCAGTATATTCTCTATACTAGTCAGAATTGTCTTAACAGACAAATCCAGCCACTTGTAACCTTTCATTACTTGCAATAAAGTTCAAATTCCTTAACACTGCCTCTAACATGTAAACTGCTAGTTATCTACCCAGTGACTACTGCACTCGTTTAGTAATAGAACCCTGATTCTACCAAGACAGCAGTGTGCCCTGCTTGTTGCCAGGTGCCGTTGAGTCACTTCTGACTCATAGCCAGCCGGTGTACAACAGAGTGAAACACTGCCTGGTCCTGCGCCATCCTCACAATCGTTGCCATGTTTGAGTGGTTGCAGCCACTGTGTCAACCCATCTCATTGAGGGTCGTCTTCTTTTTCATGGACCGCTACTTTACCAACCATGATGTCCTTTTCCAGGGATTGGTCCCTCCTTATAACATGCCCAAAGTAAGTGACACAAAACTTCACCATTCTCACTTCTAAGGAGCATTCTGGTTGTACTTCTTCCAAGACAGATTTATTCATTCTTCTGGCAGTCCATGGTATAATTCAATATTCTTTGCCAACACCATAATTCAAATGCATGAATTCTTCTTTGGTCTTCCTTATTCACTGTCCAGCTTTTGCATGTATATGAGGTGACTGAAAATACCATGGCTTGGGTTAGGCACACCTTAGTCCTCATAGTCTTCAAGGTGAAATCTTTGCGTTTTAACACTTTAAAGAAGTCTTTTGCAGCAGATTTTCCCAATGCAGGATGTCGTTTGATTTCTTGACTGCTGCTTCCGTGGGTGCTGACTGTGGTTCCAAGTAAAATGAAATCCTTCACAACTTCAACGTTCTTTGTTTAGCATGATGTTGCTTATTGGTGTAGTTGTGACAATGTTTGTTTTCTTTATGTTGAGGTGTAATCCATACTGAAGGCTGTAGTCTTTGATCTTCATCAGTATTTCAAGTCCTCTTCACTTTTAGCACGCACGGTTGTGTCATCTGCCTATTGCATGCTGTTAGTCTTCCTCCAATTCTGATGCCACGTTCTTCTTCATACAGTCCAGCTTCTTGGATTATCTGCTCAGCATACAGACTGAATAAGTATGGTGAAAGAATACAGCCATGACACACACCTTTCCTGATTTTAAACCACGTAGTACCCCCTTGTTCTGGTTGAACAACTGCCTCTTGGTCTAAGTACAGGTTTCTCATGAGCACAGTTAAGTGTTCTGATATTTCCATTCCTCACGATGTTACCCATAATCAGTTGTGATCCACACAGTCGACTGCCTTTTGCATAGTCAAGAAAACACAGGTAAACATCTTCCTGGTATCCTCTGCTTTCAGCCAAGATTCATGTGACATCAGCAATGATATCCCTCATTCCACATCCTCTTCTGAATCCAGCTTGAATTTCTGGCAGTCCCTATCGATATACTGCTGCAACCACTTTTGAATGATCTTCAGTAAAATTTCACTTACGTAAAAATCATGTATGATTAATATTGTTCAATAATTTCCGCATTCCATTTTATCACCTTTCTTTGGAATGGGCATGTATATGGATCTCTTCAAGTTCGTTGACCAGGTAGCTGTTTTCCACCACTCATCTGTCAGTTTGTTGTACTGTGGTGGCTTGTGTGTTGCTGTGATACTGAAAGCTATACCACTGCTATGTCAAATAATAGCACGGTCACCATGGTGGACAGGTTTCAGTGGATCTTCCAGACTAAGACAGATTAGGAAAAAGGACCTGGCAATTTACTTCTGAAAAAATTGGCCAGTGGAAACCTTATAGATAGCAGTGGAACACTGTCTGATATAGTGCTGGAAGATGAGCCCTCAGGTTGGAAGACAAAATATAACTGGGGAAGAGCTGCCTTCTCAAAGTAGAGTTGACCTTAATGACATGGATGGAGTCAAGCTTTTGAGACCTTCATTTGCTGATGTGGCACAACTCCAAATGACAAGAAACGGCTGCAAACATCCATTAATGATAATGTACTAAGTAAGAATCTAGGAAAATTAGAAGTTGTCAAAAATGAAATGGAACTCATAAAGATTGATATCCTAGGCATTAGTGATCTGAAATGGACTAGTATTGGCCATTGTGAATTGGACAGTCATATGGTCTACTATGTCAGGAATGACAAATTGAACAGGAACAGCATCACATTCATTGTCAAAAACATTTCAAGGTCTATCCTGAAGAACAATGCTGTCACTAACAGAATAACATTCACATGCCTACAAGGAAGACTAGTTAATGTGACTATTATTCAACTTTATGCACCAACCACAGATGAAGAAACTAAAGATTTTTACCAACTTCTGCAGTGCCCTGCTAAAGGACTCTATGTCCCAGTGTCCCCAGGAGCCAGTGTGTTCCCGAGAGGTTTGACAGGTAGTACAGAAATCAGATACACTGGTAATTCTGGGACCTGAAAGGATTACTGTCCTTACAAAAGTCAGAATTTCCTTTCTTGTAGATAATGCTGTGTCCCTGTGTCTACAAAATGTCTGCAGAAGAAACATCTGTCATGTTATTAAGTTCTGGCCAAGGATATGAAAGTGGGTGCTACTGGTTAGAACTTTCAGAAGAGGCAAGTGGGAAGACAGCTGGCTGTGCCCTTTTTGCCCACCCCTAATCTCTCCTCCTGCTTTCTGCCAGGTTCAAGGACATGATGGCTGGGGCTCCAAAAGCCATCCTAGGCGTGAGGTATCCATGAGAATGCCAGCTATGTGCCCCGGATAGCTGAGCAAAATAAGCCAAGAAGGAAGCTGTGTGCCCAATTACTATGGAGCTGCCATACAGCCCTATATTGCCTATCTTCAGATTTTATATGAGAAAATAAATTTATACCATAAGTCACTGATATTTCCAGTCCCTTTAACTAGTAGTCAAATCGAAATCTGATTCAGGCATCAAAGCATTTCATGACCTACCCTTTGTCAATCTTACCTCTCCCTTCATCTCTTACTAACCCATTGTAGGAGAGTTGATTCTGACCCATAGTAACCCTGTAGGATAGAGTAGAACTGCTCCACAGGGTTTCCAAGGCTATAATCTTTACAGAAGCAGATTGCCACATCTTTCTCCCGTGCAACACTTGGTGAGTTCAAACTCCCGACCTTCCAGTTAGCAGCTGAGCACTTAACCACTGTGCCACCTACTCTCCTCAAATTCACAGCAGCTATGCTGAGCACCTTTTAGTTTCTCAGAGCTATGTTCTCTCCATTTAAAGTCTTTTCACAAACTGCTCTTTCTGCCTGAATTATGGCCCCTGCCTAACTAACTCCTACTCATTGTTCAGATCTCAGCTTAAAAATCAGCTCTTCAATGACCACACAGCCTAGGTTAAGAAGCTCCTATTCTCTGGTACCAGAGTAGTTACTCATTGTGCTACAGTTACACTGTGAATTACAGTATTTACTTGATTTTCTCCTCCATAGACAGTAAACTCCATGAAGGCAGGGGAACACCCTGTCTTGTTCAAAACTGTATTCCAAATGCTTTGCACAGAACAGGCATTCAATAAATATTTCCTAAATAAATGGAATAAATGAGTGATGGGGATATGGTATTGGTTAGAGAGCTAAAGAAACATAGCGGGTTTCCTTTCTTTGCAATGTGAACAATGAAGTGGAATGGTTGGTGTATTATTTGTTTATTACTTATACCATGCCCTATTCCCAAAAGGATGTCAGGAGGCAGGATGGCTGGAGTACCACCTCACTAGAAGTGCTAAGGAATTCATGTCCACTTACAGACAAGGCTTTAGGGGAGCCCATTAGCAGACTGTGGAATAGTTTGGGGGAGGGAACAGTACTAAGAAAGGCCATGACATCTTGTCCTAGCTCATCATCCATCTCCTCACTTGCAAGCCCTACCTCGGGGATAACTGGTGGAAGGGTTACAGGAGGAAAAGATTAGCAGTAAAGGAGGAGAGGATTAATTTCCAAAAGGGTATACCATCCCACCACCACTCCTTCCCTTGGGCACCTACTGCCAAGTACAGAGTCTGGTCTTCTCCCCAAGGGCTCCGGCTGGGCCTAGGGCCTCAATGTGGAGAATGGCCAACTCCACTGGTCAGTCTATAGGCAGGGTCCCACTGCTAGCTGCAGGCCCCAGGCTCTGCCCCTCCATCACCCCCATCGTCGTCCTCATCGGACTGTGCCAAGGGTGTGTCTGCGCCACCGTCACTCAGATTTGGACTATGCAGGTTGGTGGAGGAGTCAGAGGAAGAGGACGAGGTCCGCGACGTGGTCCTGTCAGACACGGCCACCAGCAGGCTCAGCTCCTCCGGATGGTCATCCACCCCTGCCCAGAAAGAAGAGCTGGTCAGGGCCACAGACAGGGCTTCAGAGAGCAGGAGAACTCAGAGAACTCTTAGAGATTATCTATCAGCCTCCTCGTTTTGTAGATGGAGAAACTGAGTCCCAGAGAGGGGCAGGATCTTGTCCAAAGTCACTTAGCCAGTACAGTAAAGAGCCAGGATTAAAACCTCAGTGTCCTGACTCCTAGCTTCTTTCACTTCACTACATCATGCCTGGGCTCTGAGGATATCAATCAAAGAGTTCAAGTTCAACCTACATCACTTACTTGGTGCTGTGAGTAGCTTTGGGAAGGTCACCTTCCCTCTCAAGGACCCTGCTCCTCTCTCAAAAAAGGGATTACCTATATTCCAGAGGAGCCCTGGTGGCGCAGTGGTTAAAAGCTCAGCCGCTAACTAAAAGGTAGGCAGTTTGAATCCATCATCCACTCCTGGGAAACCCTATGGGGCAGTTCTGCTGTGTCCTACAGGGTTGATACGAGTCAGGCTTGACTCGACAGCAATGGGTTTTTCGAGCTATCACTTTCCCGTTGTTTCCTCCTTGTGTTACTGTCCAGGACTCTACCTCTATCAGGAACAGCAATGGGTTTTTTTTTTTTTTTTTTTGGTGGGGGGGTTTATATTCCAGAAGTGTTTTGAGGATGAAATCTAAGAATGCTTATAAAATGTCCAGCACATAGTAGGCCATCAACAAAGAGTGAGAATATCTATCTTATAAGTTAAGCATATGAACTTTGGAATCAGACAGACATGATTTGGATCCCAGCTTTTCCACTTTCTGGCTATGTGACTTAACTTCTCTGAGCCTAATTTCCTTCTTTATAAAATGGAAATAATACCATCTACCCTGACAGGACATTGTGAGGGGTGAGATTATATATGTACTTTAGCACAGCATCAGGCACCTAATAAGCGCCCAGTAAATAGTAATATAATTATTATGACTAGAACTACTTAAATTGCTTAATGTGAAAATGTAATTTTTACATTATTCGAGTACATTAAATAACTAATTAACTACATTACATTAATTTTACAAGAGTAAAATTAACAAAGGCGGAGGTTGGACAGTCCTAGATTTTCAGATTGGGGATCTGTAACCCAGCTCCCCTCAGGGTATACTTCCCTAAAATCTGAGCAGGTGGCTGTTCTGTTGGTGGAGACACCCACTTCCAGCCCCTGCTTGTGCATTTCCCCAGCTCAGCCCCACAGCCTCACTTCAGAGCTCCCGCCATCCTGCTCTGGCTAACTGGTGCCCACGTCTCCAAGGCAGAGGGCATACCAGACGTCTGGGGAGTTGGTGGAGCCTCTTCACAAGGCAAGAACACATCTGCTCCGTCCTGATCCCCAAGGTCAATAAGTTCCACCTGCTCCAGTGTGTCCACATTCACTTCCATGGATGAGATACTACCTATGGGAGCTGCAGATCAAGAAGGGGGCAAGTTAGGAGGCCCCAGGGCCACAGGATGATTAAGGTACCTGCCTGGTCCCAGAGAGAAGTTCAGAGGGTCAAGAAAGCAAGAGCCGAGGGGGCCCCCAAGATTCAGGATCCACAAGACTTCCTCTACCTCACCCTAGGCCCAGTCCTCCCCTCTCCTCAGGACTTGGGACTTACGTCTCTGTGACTCGAGATGCAGGTGGGACAGGGGGAAGACAAACTCTGTCTCCGGCTGTAAAATGTCCTCAAAGAATTTCTGCCGCTCCCGAAGGCGGAGCTGCTGGCGCTCCAGGGTTGCCCGAGGATTTGGGTCCATGTCAGCTCCTGGTGGGTGGGAGAGCAGGACAAACACGGCTGTGAAGTTGAGAGAGAATACAGTGGGAGCCTGATCTTGGGGAGCCCCACTGCAGCCAGCATCCCAGCAGTGCTTTCTTGAATCCTCTGGTTCCTGCCTGGATACTTCTGGGCTCCGAGACCTCCTTGCCCTTCCCTGAAACCAAGCCCATCCCAGGGCCCATCCCAGGAACTTCAAGTCTCAGGCAGAGGCGGGGCTGGCCCTGTCTCCACAAAGGGGATGCCAGTTCCAGGCACAGCAGAAGAGGCTCTTCTGTATTCAGGGAACGCGGTCAATGGTCGAGTCCCAGTATTATGCCCTTCTGAGAGGGGTTGGTGGGGCTGGCCCAGGCCAAATGGGGGAGGCACTTTCTCCACTTAATGGACCCAGCCTCCCAGGGAAAGGAAGAGGGATGGAGACCTCCGGGAGGAGAGTCATCTTCCTCTCCCTCTGCAACTCTGGTTCCTGCTCATCCGTTCAAGCCCAAGGGCTAAAGCAGCCCCTGCCCCTCCTCTCTCTCCCGACATACACACACATGCCCACCAACCCTTGCTCTGAAGACACAAGACATGAAGTTCAGACTTGGCTCTGTCCCTGGGTAAATCCTCTTTCTAGCTTCAGTCTCCCCATCTGAAAATGGCAGAATCATCCTACCTGCCTCAAACACAAGGCACTGCTTGTGCAGCAGCTCTGTAAAACGTGAAGCTCTGATGCACCAGCCACTTAGTGGCCGATGGCTCTCTTCTTAAACTCCCAAGCTCTTCATTTGCCTCTCCTCTGACACATCTTGCTCTGTCTTATCTCCCACGAGTCAGTGAGCAGCAACTGGAAGGGTAGGTCCTGGGTCCAATTCAGACCAGGGCTTCTGGCCCCTGTGCTGAAAGCTTTCCAGAACACCAGAGCTCGGCGCCCGCCCAGGCCCTATGCATTCACCCCCATTCACTCCATCTCATTCCTGGGTTCTGTTCGAGCCGGTCACCCGAGGTACCGGGACGACCAGATAGGCATCCTCAGCAGGCTGCCTTCCCCATACCACATCTGGGCTCCGCGTAACTGAGACCCAGGCCAACTCCACAGGCGCTGGGGCAGGCTGGACAGGGCCAAGGAAGTGTGGGGAGACCGTGTGGCCACAAGCGGGCCGGGCTGCGGAGGAGAGAGGCAATGACGCCGATTCCAGGGAAAGGCTCTGAGAGCTGCCGCCCAGGTCACGACGCTAAAAATACCCAGGGCTCCAGGGGCGGTTTGCTCATGCAGGAGGGTAAGGGCGGGGGGAGGGGGGGGTGGGCGAACCACGGCTCTGGGACGCCCCCTCTTCCTCCCCTCCCCCCAGCCCCATGGGACTCATGAGATCCAAACGGCCGCGGAGCCAGTGCTGAAGGAGAGAGGGAGGGGAGCTGTTTATGAGACGAAAGGTGCTGGGGAGGGAGTGGAGATATTTGCGAGTGGGGGCCGCCCGGGCTGGCCGGCCGAGAGCCAGCAGAATGGAGCCCTCCCTCGGTGTCAGCCCCACCCGCACCGAAGTAAGCTCGAGCCGGACAATTCCCTAAAAAGGGCCAGTGCATCCGCTGGGCTGAAGTACCCCGGCCATTCCACTCGTCCTGAGTCCCCGGCCCTCCCGCGCACCTGTGCCCCCCTCCCCCCGCCAACACCGAGCCCTACCTGCAGCGCCAGCACCCCAGCCTCGGTGTGTACGCGCCGACCAGAAGGCAGCGGGGGCGTGAGAACGGCCCGCGCCGGCGGGTAGGGCGCCGCCGGGCTCCCCCGGGACGGTGGAGCCCTGGGAGCCTGGACGCTGAGGCGGCGGGAGGCGGAAGTGGGGGAGGGGCAGCGGACCCCGCCCGCGGCCAGAGCTGCGTTGCGGCTGCCGACGCGGCCCCGCGTACTTCCCTCCCAGGCCGGCAGAAAGTTCCCGCACGCATCCTGCTCCAAGCCAGCTCCCGCACCCCGCCCTCCCCCGGCCATCTGCGCTCCGCGAAACTCACTGCACCCGGCCGCGCCGCCCCGCTGCCGGGACCCGCGCCGGCGCTCGGCCCACGCATACTTGCTGTGCTCCGACTCCAGGGCAGTCCTGCCTCCCGGCCCCTCGGCCACGCTGGCCCCGTTTCCGCGTGCACCCGTCGAGGAGGCGCACCCTGGGGAAGGGAGGGAGACTGACTCCGTACCCCATCAGGGCAGGTGCATTGCGGCAGAGAACCCCTAGCCCTGGGACTCACCCGACGCCCTAGTTCCTGACTCCAGGACTAGACATAGCCTCCCGCCCAGCCTTCCAGTGCACTGGGCGTGGTGGGCGCCAGGACGGGTGGGTCAGGCCTGGGGGGTGGGAGGCGGCGGGGAGCCACTGCGCTGTGCCCCCAGACGCCGGCAAGGAGCCAAATCCTCCACGGGGCTAACGGGGTGTTGCACCTCTGGGTTGGTGGGGTGCAGGACCCAGAGGGGAAGCGTTTGCCCCGTTCGCAGCGCCTCCAGACTCAGATCGGTGCCCAGAAGTGTTCAAATCTAACAGCTTCTGGGCTGAGTGTGCCCATTCTCTTCCTTCCACTGTCCCCTTGCGCTTGGAGCTCGGGAATCCGCGTTGGGGGTATGGGGTCTGTCTGAGATGCCTCTCTCTGCAGTGGGGTCACACAGTAATTGATTCAACAAACACCCACTAACAAGACAGGGCTTAGGAGTCACCCTTGGCACCTCCCTTTCCCTCACCACCCACATTAAAAGACACCTCCATTTCCTGTCTGTTCTCTTTCCTACGTATCTTTCCAATCCACCATTTCTATTTCCACCGCCCTCGCTCGCTTAGGCTCCTACAGTAGCCTTCTATCTGGTTTTCCTGTACTCATTCTGGCCCTGCTACACGACATTTCCACACAGCAATCAGTCGTCATTTCAAAACGCAAGTCTGATGTGTCACCCCCTGGTTAAATTCCTGCATTGTTAGAATAAAATCCAGGCCGTGATAGCTGAGCTGAGCCTTGAAGAAATGAGCTCAACCAGCAGAGAAGGGAGAGGGGGGAGCATATGCAAAGGGCTGGAAGTGTGAACAGGGACGACACAGGTTTCCCTGTCAGGGGACTGCAATCTGTGCATACACCTAAAGCACTGCCTCTTCTAGTCTATTATTGGGATCTCCAAACAACCCTGTGAGAGAAATACAGCAAGCAGCTTTCTCACTATTTTACAAGCGTGGAAACTAGTTTGTGGGAGGCAACAAGTGTGGTGGTTAAGAGCACAAGCATTGTAATCAGACCCTCTCAGATTGGATTGTAGACCCAGCTCTGCCTCTAGCCAGCTGTATAAACATTTACTTCTCTGATCGTTTATTTCCATGTCTAATAAATATGAATAATTAATCCTTACCTCTTATGAGATAATTCGGATAAAGCCCTTAGTCCAGGACTTGGGCACTTTGGAGATGCTTGGTAAACATTAGCTGTTTTGATTGTAATTGGTTCTGAGAAAGGGAGGAAACTGCTCTGTTCCACAAATTTCTGAAATTATAGGAGGTCCTAATAGTTAACATTTCTACAGAGCTTATTATGTGCCACCACTCTTATAAGTGATTTACATATATTAACTCTTCTAACCCTCTTAACAATCTAGTAAGGTAAGTATTATTATTGTTTCCATTTTACAGATACAGAGAGGTGAAGGAACTTTCCCATGGTTATACAGCTAGTAAGTGGTGGCACCAGAATGCTTCCAGAGACTGTTTGTGACCACTACTCCCAGCCTGTTCTCCTTTTATCCTGCTGCAGTTTTCATCTTCCAAGAAATGCTCCAGTCAGTTTGATTCTTATTCCTCACTAATGGATAGATACTTGGTCCCATTTCCTAGCAGAAAGGACTGAGGCCAAATCAACAGTGCAGTGGATGGGAGCTCAGCTCCCAAAGTTACTTCCCTCATTTTTCAGGCTTATCCCTGGAAACAGGATGTTTGACAGATAAGAAACCTCTGTCCCTTCTCAGATATTCGCTGCAAGGAGTTAAGAGGGAAAAAGCATCTCAAGCTGTAAATATTAGGGGCTATGCTGGAAGAGTGTCAGCAAAGAGAAAGACCCAAGAAGCTGACCTTTGAATGGACAGCCAAAGGAGTCAAAGGGAGCAGTGCAAAAGTAGATGTCTTGAAACTTCTGGCTTCCATGCAGGATGCAGAAAGCTGGGAAGAACATCATTCCCATACTAATAATAAATAATCAGATAACCTATAAAATAATTCTTGTTGAACCCTTCAGAGAACTGAGGTTGTAGGGCAACCAATAAACCTGAATTCCAAGGAAGGACAGGAGCCTTCAGGGAGAGATAAGATGCAGGCACTGGTTCACTTGTGGAGCACGAGGAAGATGAGGTCTCCATGCAAGTGGGTAAGAAGAATTCAGCTAAAATATTGATTGAATTGCTAAAGTCCCAGTGTGACTGGCATGAGAGTATAGAATCCCTGGGAGGTGCAGATACTGAAAATCCATAGAAGCAAAAAGCCCAAATTTAGTTTAACTCCTGGCGAGATTGACTCAATCCCCCATACTAATGACCCAGCAGAAGAAGAGATGTGCCAATCTCAGGCGTAAATAATATTGACCTCAGTCCCTACTATTCCACTCACTATGTCCAGAAATCAATAAAAAATTACAAGACACACCAAAATAAAGCTATTCTATTTTAAAAAAAAAAATCTACTGTGAAGAAACAAAGCAATCAACAGGACCAGACTCAAAAAATGTCTCAGATGTTGGAATTATCTGACAGGCAATTTAAATTATGTTAGAGGCTCTGGTGGAAAGGTGGACAACATGCATGAGCAGAAGGGAAGTTTCAGCAAAGAGACAGAGACTTTAAGAGTCATCGGAAATATTGGAAATAAAAAACGTAAAAGAGATGAAGAATCCCTTTGATGGACCCCATTAGTAAACTCAATACACCTGAGAAAGAATTGGTGCATTTAAAAATAGGTCAATACAGATTGCCCAAGCTGAAGCAGAAAGGGGAAAAATAGCAAAAC